CTAAGATAGCTTTCTACAAAACAGAAATGCAAAAGGTGTGTAGGTGGGGAAAAAAGGTTAAATGTTAGAAGTAGATGGATTTGCTCAACAAGTCAAAATATTTAATTCATTTGTTTGGAAAAAAACAGCTTGGATTATATACCTCTGATTGCCTTCTCTGCCAGAAAAAGGGTAAGAATCATTTCCATGTGTTTCCATCAGTAGTTCACATTAAAGTAAATAAAATCCCAAACTTTATCAGAAGAAAATCTAACATATCCACAAATAGAACTTTCTACCTCTTCCTATAAATAAGCTCCTCGTCCTCACTGTCTCCCCGTGAGTTCACTTGAAGCCAAGGAGCAAACTGGTTAAGCAAAGGAGCCTGGGCAGTTCTATCCCAACCACCCCGTCTGTTCCTGGCACCGTTCTTCTGTGTGTGACTGAGCTTCACATCCTTGGCTCTATCTGTGATTCCTCCTTCCACTAGATTGCCAGCCAAAGCCCACTGATGCTAACTCTTCTGTTCTCTTACACTGAGTCTCCTTTTCCTGGTTCTCTAAACTCCACTCAAGTTCCTACTCTAATGCCACTAACCCTTTAACAGTTCTCCACCCCTAATCCATTCTAGATACCTCTACCCACTAGTCTGATACTCCCTGTAACTGGACACGACCTCTCGCTCCGCTAAACCACATCATTTTGCTCAGACTTTTCCTACGGCTCTTACACTCTGCCTTATACTCCGGCATTCCTGCCTTTCTCCCCAGGGTAGACCGTGAGCCCTTTGAAGGCAGGCACGATGTTTTCTCACTGTTGCATCCTCCGGCTGCCTAGCATGGTGCCTTGCAGACAGAGATACTCAGTATCTGTTGAACTGTGAAGAAAATCATATTTGTTTTTTATAGAAAAAAGTGTGAAGTCAGGTGAAGTCATGCTTGGCTCAAGTCTTTAAAAAAGAAGTAGGCCTCCAGTTCACTCAAAATACTGTTACTCACTCTCTTAACAAGCAATCAACAGCCAGTAAATTACTCAGTGAGTGAGTGTAATTCAAAGCTATCACATACAGACGAATGAGTCACACCAGCAGCTGGGCAGCTCTTTCCTGCTCCTCAGTGGAGAACATTCATCTGAAAAGACTACAGAACGGCCACAAGAACGAGCAAGTTAACCACAGTGTCAGATGTCGCAGCTGGACAAACAGCCCAAAGCTTGGTTTCAAAGCTCTGCAGGTGGCTCATTTATATGATTGACAGAGGCAGGAGAACAGGCTGTAAAGGCCTAGATTCCAAAGCTGCAAGAAGCAGCCAGACCACGCTAGTGTCTGGGGGGCTCCAGAGCGCATTCCCCATGAGGGCGGGGAAGGGTGCGTGTGTGTGATACGGATGTACGGCCTGTTTTGGGTGTTACCAATAAAAGCAGAAAAGTGCTAAAATGCATTATTAGATAACATGCACAACTTAAGGGAGGTTTATTCACTGTCGGTTTTCTTAGAGAAAATCCTAAGATAATCCACATTCTGAATCATGAATAACTTTACTTAAAAATTATTTGTATACTCGACATTGAATTTTAAGTGTACAAAGAGGAAAGAAGCCTATCTCACTTTTTAAAAAGTGTCAGAATCCAATTTAAAAAATAATTTGGATTCAGTTAAAAAAATTTCTGGGGGTTATTATATTTGAGTATTTGAAATATTAAATGAGTTTTATCACTAGGATAGAATTTCGAAGAGAGACTTAGGAGCATTTATTAAGAAAGTCTTGAGTCTTTTATTTGACTGGAGATACAATACTTACAGAAATGACACACAAAATACGCAACTCCCTATTTCTAGGTACCGACCCAGCTGTGTTAAGAGAAAAGAACATGGGAAACGACTGGCCTATGCAAAGGAAGGCAGGAAGGGGAAAAAAGAAGAGAAAGGAAGACAGGAAGGGTAGGAGAGCAGAAAAGAAAACAAAGGGAAGAAGCAAGGAAGGAGCCAGGCACAGTGGCACACGCCTGTAGTCCCCGTACTCAGGAGGTCGAGGCAGGAAGATGCTGGGACCAGGAGTTCAAGGCCAACCTAGACGACATAGCAAGACCCAGTCTCTAAAAAAATAAAAATAAATTTTAAAAAGGAAAGGAGGAAACAAAGAGAGAGGAGAGAAAAGAAAAAGAAAGGAAGATGCTGGGACCAGGAGTTCAAGGCCAACC